ATTTCAGGACACCGGGGCATAAAGAAGGTCTCCATCCAGAACATCTCCCCTGAGGATCTCAACGTATCCTGCCCAGGCAGCTTGTGGCAGGGGCGGGGAGGGGGGTGGGGGGCGGCGGGCGGGAGGGGGCAGAGAGAAGGGGACTGTGAAGGGCTGAGGCCCCATTCTCACCCCTTCCTTGACGCTGGGCCCTCAGCTGGAGTACTCCATGCTGAACCCCGATGGCCCCTTTGTCCTGCTGAACCCCACCATGAGGTTGCCCTCTGGCAAGACCCAGGTCCTAGATCTGTCCTTCTCCCCGCGTGAGAGTATCCTGGTGAGTCCCAGCCCACCCGAGCTCTATTGCAGCCCTACTCCCTGCTCTACATGCCATCCAGCACTCTGGGCCTGGGAGCCACTGGTCCTCCTGGGCCCTGGCCTCTCACTGGAAGGAGGAGGAGGTGGTGGCCAGGGAGCTCCAAGCCATCTCAGGTCCCCCATGCCCTGACCCAGCTGCTCCAAGACAGAGCTCCCACACCTGCCTCTGCCAGCGTCTGTTTCACGCTAAGGGACGTGGTCTCTGCAGGCCCAAGAAACACTGGACATCATCACCAAGAAAGGCACGCTCTCCCTGGCCCTCATGGGCACGGGTGTGGCGTCCACGATCACATGCTCCATTGAAGGTGATGTCCTCAACATGGGCTACGTGATCGCCAGAGAGTCTGTTTCCTTGGGCTTCAAGGTAAAGCATATGGCGGGGCCTGGTGCTGCCCATCGCCTGGGAGAGGTTCCCAGGAGGGATCCACCCTGCCTCAGTCAGGGAGACAGCAGAGGCCGCTCTACCGCCCCCTCCCCCACCACCCCCAGCAGCTGTCACTCCACTGGCCCCTCCAGCCAGTGGGGAGGGGGTGCTGAGGACGCCCCTTCCTCCGCCCCTCCGCTGCTGCCCATGTCTTCTCACTGCTCCCATCTTTCTACCCCAGGGCCTCTGCATGGGATGTAGGCCATCCCCCTCAAGGGGTCAAGCGGGCTCCTACCCCCACGCAGGCAGGCAGGCCTGGCTTTTTCTGCTCCCCCGCATCTGAGGTGGCCTTGGGCTGAAGTTGCCAATGGGTCCCCTGCTTCTTTACTTAGCTTAGTCCAGGTTCTGACAGCAGACCCCAGGGCCTGATTCCATGGGATTTTAGAAGGATGCAGCATTCTCCCGGGAACAGGGGGAGGCAGGAGAGAACTGGGGTGGGATGCTGGTTCAACTGAAGACTAGCCTGAGCCTGATGGAGCAGGAGGGGGCTGAGACCTGGCGGCAGTGGCCTGCTCCCCAGCTGGCCAGCCCAGCTGCCCCAGTGACACAGCCCTGCTCCCCGCAGCTGCAGAACAACTCCCTGCTGCCCATCAAGTTCTCCATGCAGCTGGACAGCCTCTCCTCCAGGAGCAGAGACAAGCACCGCCTGCCACAGTTCCTGGCCTCGCCGGACCAGAGGACGGAAGTCGTGGGTAAGCTGGCCAGCTGGGGGGACCATGTGGGCCATGGAGGGGGCATGGCCAGGGGGTGCTGGGCGCTTCAGGGGGATCCGGACCAGCCTGGCCGCCTTGCTCCCAGGCACCCAGAACTACAGTGGCCAGAGTGTGTTCAGCGTGGTCCCAGCCAAGGGCGTCATGGAGCCTGGCAAGGCTCAGGACTTCACTGTGACCTTCAGCCCAGACCACGAGAGCCTGTACTTCTCTGACCGGCTACAGGTCGTGCTCTTTGAAAAGGTAGGACTCCGACCCAGCCTGGAGCCCTCCTCCCCACCCAAATGTCCACTTGTCCAAGCCTTTCAGCTGCCTGAGCGGCCACACATTGGAGCTTGGTGCCTGGGGGGCTCCACATCAGGTTGGGGGTCATCAGGTGGAGAAACCAACGTCTGGGGTCCCACAGGCCCACATCACAGCCCCGCCCCCTCCCAGAGCCCCACACGCAGGGTTGCAAACCGCTGTGCTCCTGCCCCCAGAAAGTGTCCCACTGCATCCTCCTGAAGGGCGCGGCCCGCGAGCACATGATGTTCGTGGAGGGCGGAGACCCCCTGGATGTGCCTGTGGAGTCCCTGACCATGATCCCTGCCTTTGACCTGGAGCACAGAGAGGGTGAGCCCTCTGAGGGCGGAGAGCCCCGAGGTGGGCAGGGTGGCAGAAGCGGACGCTTGGCCCTTTGAGTCTGCAGAGAGGGCAGGCATTTCTGGCCCATCCCCCACAGGTGGGGGCAAGGCTAGTGGGCCAGCCCTGCTCAGAGGATCCCTGCCTGACCCCGGGGACCCCCGCATTCCCTCCGTGGTACCCCCACCCCCGAGACCCCCGCCAGGCCCTCCCTCTCCAGAAGCTGAGGAGCTAAAGCCCATCCTGGTGACCCTGGACTACGCCCAGCTGGACCCAGACACACAGGCCCCACCTGCCACCCGAGAACTGCAGGTGGGCTGCATCCGGACTACCCAGTTGTCTGCAAAGAAGGTGACCACAGCACTGCCCTGGCCTCCCTGGCACCGCTGCAGCCACCACTGCCTGGGCAGCTTGGGCCTCTGCTGGCCTTGCCTCTCTGTAGTTGAGGGGTGGGCAGCCTGCTGGTTAGGGCAGGGGGCAGGAGTGCTGGTTCCTGGGAGCTGTGCCTGCCCGCCTGCCCGCTGACAGCACCAATGCCTGCAGACTGTTGAGTTCAGCATGGACAACATCGTGGCCCTGCAGCACAAGGGCTTCACCATTGAACCCTCCAAAGGCTCTGTGGAGCGCGGCCAGACCAAGGCCATCAGCATCTCCTGGATGCCGCCCATCGACTTTGATGTGGGTGCCTAGGAGCCCGCCCCCCCCCAGGAAAGGGCTGGGGGCCTAGGCGGGTGAGGTGGGCAGTGCCGCCAAGAGAAAACACGTGCCTGCTGCACCCCTTGACTGAGGATCCCCCTCTGTTCCCACCTCTCCCCTTCCAGCCGGACCACCCACTCATGGCATCGGCCCTGCTGCAGCTCAGGGGGGATGTGAAGGAGACCTACAAGGTCCTCTTTGTAGCCCAGGTGGTGACCGGCCCCTGAGGCCACAGGAGTCTCTCCACAGAGCCCCCTGATCTTCCTGCCACTCTCGAAGCCCTCCCCTGGTCTGTGGACAAGGCCGAACCACCCAGGGGCCTGGAACCTGGGCAGTTTCAAAAGGGCAGCCTCCTGCATGGCCCCCCAGGGCACTCCTGCTGTCCTGGCTCCAGCTCCCATCCCAGCCCCATGTCAGAACCAGCAAAGAGGCCAATCCTGACCACAGCCTGCTCCCAACCTGAGCTCTGCGGGTCCCCAGCCCCACCAGCACCCACCCAGACTTTCGAGGTCCTGGTGAGGAACAGCTGCCCCCACAGACCTGTCAATAAACCCTGTGTGAATCTATGCTTCTATGCCTGCAGTGTGGGCTGCAGTGAGCAGGTGGGGGGCTGCCCCTGCCCACACACACAAGTCAGCCCATAAAACAATGAACTCAGCCTAGACAACTAGAGCCCCTGGGGAAACGGCTGAGGGGGGTAGGGGTGGAATTGAGGCCAACCCACACCTGGAGAGGCCAGCGAGCAGGGTGGGGGCTGCTGACTCCAAAGTCCAGGCAGCCCCTTAGCCCCCTGCTGCTCCCAAGTCCCTGAGGCCCCAGGCAAGGAGTGAGCCCTCACTGCATCCTCCTGCACAGCCCAGTCAGGGTCCGGGGGAGGCCCACCCGTCAGTTTGGTTTTCCAGTGTTCTGAAGTGGGTCCAGGCTCAGCCTTCTGGGTCCTGACCAGCTCTTCAAGGGAGAAGCCCCCTCTTCCGGCCCAGGAGACCTTGCTGGGAGCTCAGAATGGTACTTGCACCAGCCAGCCCCTGCCTTCTAGAGAATGGCAGGGTAGACACTGTCCCCACAGAGCTCACCCAGCCAGGCCCCGTGTACTAGCCCAGCATGCCCAGCCTGTGCCAGCCCTAGGTGACCAAATGCAGCCTTCCCTGGCAGGAGTGGAGGGTCAGCTGCATCCAGGGCTTCTCCTGGGCACAGGCCTCGGGACACCAGCCTGGAGTCCTCACCCTACTTCCTCAGTGCCCTTGGCATCTGGAAGTCTGCCCTCTCCCTAACCCTGAGCCCACAACAATGGCCGCAGGGCAGCCTTTTGTGGGACTTCTATCCAGTGGGCAGACCCTCACCAGGCTGCTGCTCACCAGATGGGAGAGAAATCCAGGTCCTAAAGCCAGGTCAGGCCCTGGACTCCTCCCTGCAGGGCACTGCCCCACCTCCTCCCTGGTAGGCCCCTCTCTTCTAAACACTTGGGGTTTAGAACCAGCAGGCCTTGGCATTTACTGGCCCAGGTCCTGCCTGCACTTCTGCCCATCCTTCTCCTTCCCACTCCTGAGCCAGGAGCCTGGCTGGAGCAGGGTGAGCTAGGGGCCACCGTTCAGCCCGGAGGCACAGGATAGCTTCAGGACAGAGCCTATGCAACGGGCCTGGCAAGTGCAGCCAGGATAGAGTCAAGCTGAGGAGGTGAAAGTGAAAGCCGCTCAGCCGTGTCCCACTCTGCAACCCCAAGGACTATACAGTCCATGGAATTCTCCAAGCCACAATACTGGAGTGGGTAGCCTTTCCCTTCTCCAGGGGATCTTGCCAACCCAGGGATCGAACCCAGGTCTCCCGCATTGCAGGAAGCTGAGCCACAAGGGAAGCCCAAGAGTACCGGAGTGGGTAGCCTATCCCTTTCCCAGAGGATCTTCCCTACCCAGGGATCGAACCAGGGTCTCCTGCATTGGAGGCAAATTCTTTACCAACTGAGCTATCAGGGCAGAACAAGCGGAGGAGACCCCGCCCTCAAAGAGCTGCAGTCAGTTCCCCTCCAGGGGGTTGACGCTTAAGGAGCGCGTCCTGATTGCAGTGAAGAAAGACACGCAGGGCAGCTTCCTCCACCTCCCTCCCCAGACAAGGCCCCTTGCCACGCGGACCAATTCCTTTAGCCTGACCGCCCGACGGAGGAGCAGAGGGCAGAGGGCAGCGAGCGTGCACAATTAATGTCGCTGAACTACGCTCTTGGAACGCCCCAGCGTCATGACTGTTGCAACCCTGACCTTGAGCACCCGGGTGTGTGAGAGGCGTGGCCGCCACCCTCCGAGGCCACACCCAAGCATAACTGTCCATGGGACGCCTCCGTCCACCCTGAGCCCGACTGCAGGACGCCAAAGGGCAAGACCGCCCGCCACCCTGTGACCCTATGCTAAGGAAACTTGGAGTGGACGGACCTGGTGAGAGGACCATGGGGCGGGAATTGCGTGGGCGGGACCCTGAAGTAACCAAGGGCCTGCGGCGAGCCAAGCCCATCGGGGGCGGGGCTTCTAGAGGCGCGGCTGATCTTAGGGGAAGGGTTAGGGCGGGGGACCTGGGCGTGGCTACAAGGCCAATCCTCCAATGGACGCAGTCTCTGGAGGGCGGGGTTTGCGCTGGGAGCTGCCCAGGGGCGTGGCCCTCAAATTGCCGCCGGGCCTCCGGGCTCGCTACGTCTGTCGGCGCTGAGCTGGTTCTCCCGGGCGCTGGCCGACCGCGGGCTCCTGTTGCTGCCGCCACTCCTGCCACTGCCTCAGGTGGGTCGCGGGGTGCTCGGCTCCGGCACCGCGGGGCGGGTCTGCGCTCGGCGCGCCATGGCCCGGGCTCACCCGTGTCCCCTCAGGTGGCGCTGGGTTTCGTGGAAGGCAGCTGCGACCCCTCGGACCAGTAAGTCGGGGGCGGCGGAGCGGGGAGGCGGCGAGAAGGGTTGGACGGAGGGAGGGAGCGGGGGTAGGGGGCACCCGGGGTCCTCCCGCGGGGAGGCTCGGGCGGGACAGTGGGCCTGGCCCTTCCTTACCGGCTCCAGGTGCCGCCGTCCCAGAGGTGCCCGCCCCAGGCCAGCTGGAGCAGCCTGTGGCACGTGGGGTAAGTGGAGGGCGCGGCGTGCAGCTGGGTGCTACGGTCCTCACCTGGGCCAGTCCCACCAGGCCCCCACCCACTTGGCTCCACGGCTGAAGAGTCACCACCACTGTCCCCATCCTGGGCCGCTGGCGGGAAGCTTCTGAGGCCCCCAGCAGCCTGGCATACGGATCCCAGGTTCCTCTGTGAGGCTGCCATCAACATGCGCCCAGTAAGAAAAAGGGGTATCAGGGGAAAGCTAAAAAGCCCGCGAACGCCCAAGTTTGAAAAAAGCCGGCAAAAGTTTGGACCAATAAAATTGCTTTGCAAACATGTAACCAATCCGCTTAAGCCAGCTACCAACTGCTTATGCTCACCCTATAAATTTGTGTAACAGCTTGGGCTCAGGGCTCTCTGACCCCACACCACTGCGTTGGATGCGGCAGGAGCCCTGACTCGAGTCAGCAATAAACTTCCCTTTTTGCGAGTTGCATTGTCTTGGAGGCCTTCTGTCTTCCCGCTCGGGGATTTGGACATCGGGCATAACACCTCTCCCAGCACCCAGGCAACATCCGGTATGGGTCCTGCCTGAGTTCTTCATGGCTGGGGACACCCCTGGGCCCTTGACTGACTTCCCTTGGTAGCCCACTTCCCATTCCCTCACTCCTCATCCCTGTGGGAGGAGTGAATGGAGCACTATAATCTGTAGCTGGCCTGGGGCAGTGTGTCCTGGGAAGAAACCCAAGGCCACTTGTTGCCAGCCCTGGAGAGACAGCCAGGGCAGGTCCAGCAGCAGACCAGGCCAAGCCAGATCCTCAGCCCCAACTCTGGCCAGGAAGGAGGTGTCTGGCCTGGAGAGGCAGTCCTGGTTCTTTTATCCTGTGCATTGCCTTGTCTTGAGCAACTGGGCTGTGACTGCCCCCTGGAAACAGGTGCCCAGAGACCAGGGGGCAGTCCAGCGGTAGGGGTCTTGCTCCTCCCTGCCCAGGCTTATCCTGCTCACTGCCCTCCTGCTGCTGCCCTGTGGGGTCTCAGCCAGCTGTGTCCGATTCTGCCACCTCCGGAAGCGGGCACACACGCAGCCACACCTGCCGCTGGCACCTGAGCCCTGCGACCTGACAGCCATCCCCGTGGACAGTGACAGCCCGGTGCATAGCACTGTGACCTGTGAGTGCTGGCACACCTCTCCTGGTGGCCCACCCACCTGCAGGGGTGGCAGGGTACCGGTGAGGGCCAGGCCCACCCCCACAAACCCATCCTGGGTCCCTGCAGCCTACAGCTCCGTGCAGTGCCCGCTGGGCATGCAGCTACCCCTGCCCTTCGGGGAGCTGGACCTCAGCTCCACGACCCCTCCATCCTACAGCCTGTACGCCCCTGAGCCGCCGCCTTCCTATGAGGAGGTCGTCAAGATGACGAAGACCAGACAGGAGGAGCCACCTCCCTCCCTGTAACCCAGCCTCCCCTGGGGCCTCATGCCTCGAGACCCCTCCAGGACTCCCGGAGCCAGGGCCTAATGCTCAGCACCCCTGGCTGTGGCCCTGGTGTCCCACAGAGGGGGCAGGATAGCTCTCCCAAGCCTCCCAATGCCACTGGCTCCTCTGTGCTCACAGGGGACTGTGCAAGGGCACCCAGCACATCCCCACCATCCTTTCCCCAGGAAGGCCAGCCATCCAGCACATTGCTGCAGCCCTGGACTCGTTGCTGTGTAACACTGGACAGCCAAGCTGACTGGCCCTGTGTTGGCCACACACACACACACATGCTGTTACATCCAGCCCTGGCCCCTAGCCCAGCCCCAGCAGGCCCTCAGCCCAGAGGAGGCCCCACAGGCCTAAGCCTCAGGGCTCAGGGCTTGCTGTGATGTCCGCAGCTTCTCAGAGAGAAAATAAAGTTTGTATCTAAGTGATCTCTGCACGGAGGAAAGGGCCCCAGGAGGGGCCCTTGGGCAGCACCTCCCAGGGCCAAGGGCAGGGTGTATGGTCCTCTACCTAGGCCCAGTCAGAGCCCACCTGGTGTCCAGAGCCCAGGACTGGGCTGTGGGCCATGTCAGGTATCCCACAGAAGTGACGGGCCAAGTGCCATGGTCGACTCGGGAGAACCCTCTACCTTCTCCAGACCCACAGCTTTGCAGTCCCTTCTTTCCAGCCTGAGGACAGTGATGTACACATGAGTCTGGCTGGAGTATTTATTGGCTGCGGAACTGGGGTGGGGTGGGCAGTAGCGGGTAGCAGGCTTCTGCCAGCAGACCTCCCTCAGCCCCACTGGGTCCTCCTACTGAACCAGCTTGAAGGACTCCCTAGTCATCATGCCATGAACTCTGAGAGCAGAGGGAGAGGTCAGCAGCCCAGCCAGACTGACCGGCCTCCAGGGTCCCGGGGCCCATCCTCTGCTCACCCTCGTAGTCGAGGGTCCCATCCCCATTCTCGTCGGCTTCCTTCATCATCTGCTCAGCCTCTACCTCATTGAGGGGCTCACCTACGTTCATAAGCACGTACCTGCAGGGGCCCCCTTTGCACTGAGCAGCAGCCATCAGGGCACCCACCTCGCCGGCCCCCTGCCCCGCACCCACCTGGCCTGGGCCCTACTTGATCATGTCCCAATCAATGTAGCCCTTAGCCTCCTTGTCAAAGACGCGGAAGGCTGCCCTCAGCTCACCCTTGGTTCTGGGCCTTCTCCCAATACACCCCCCATCAGGGCCAGGAGGTTGCTGCAGTTGAAGAACCCTTTCTCTGTGGGGAGTAAGTGGCCGGTGAGGGTGGCGCACCCCTCGTCATGCACAGGGGACCCCTGCCTGCCCCAGCTGTCCCTGTCAGCCTCACTAACTCTGTCCACGTCCTTGGCCGTGGAGGCCAACTCACTCTTGGTGGAGTTGATGCCCAGGAAACTCATGAGCTGCTCCAGCTCATCCGTCTTCACCTGCCCTTTGTCCTCGTCGAACATCTCAGAGACCCCCTTGTAACCCTTGATCTGCCCTGTGACAGGCGCTCCGTCTGTGGGAACAAGAGCCCAGACTCACCAGGGGTTCCTCCACCCCTTCAGTCCAGGGGAGGCTGAAGGGCCTGGGACACGAGGCCCACGGCGCTCAGCCCCAGCCCAAAGCAGGCTTCAGAAAAGGCGGCACGAGGGGCAGATCTTGAAGGGAGAGCAGGACGCCAGGGCTGGGGCTGGGGGTGAAGGAGCCAGGGCTGGGGCAGACCAGCCATGTGAGAGCAGTCGGGGCAGCAGTGGGTACCCAGTGAGACCGGGGGAGAACACCATGGACCGGTGTGGGAGAAGTCTGCCCAGGGGATAGGGTGAAAGCCCCAGCCTGCTCTGGCATCCCAGAGGGATAGCTCAGTGCCTGGCCACCCCGTCTTTCACCACCATGGCAGCTTTCAGAAAGGGCTGCTCTGACCTGGCCCCCCAGAGCAAGGGTGGCCCCAGTGGCTGGCAGGGCCTGGCCTTGGGGAATCTGTGCTCTTGTCCAGATTCATTGGACTTCTTCCTCAGGTTCCCAGAGACCCTTACACCTTCGGGCACAGCCCCAGCTGATCCCCAGGTCTAGAGGCCTGCCCACCCTTTCCCGCGGGCGCTGCCCCCAGCTCCCGCTGGGCCACCCAGCCAGCCCACTGGGGCTCCTCCACCAGGCACCCATAGCAGCCTTGCCATGTCTGTGGCAGATGAGAGGACCCTGCACGGTGGCACACAGGCTGCTGTGGGTAGAGTTCAAGGGGCGGAGGGGGCATCTGAGTTTTAGAAGGGCCCAGCAGCCCAAGGTCCCAGGGGTCCCAGATTCCAAGAGCCTTTTATGGCCAGGAGATCCTCTCAGCCCTGTTTTGGGACAGTTGACCCTTCTCCATGTGGCCCTTCATGGCCTGATCAGCCCCTCACCCCAGAGCTCCCTCTGCGACCCTGGGTCCTAGCCAAGGCCCTCCTGGGCTGCAGCAAGGATGGATACTGTGGGCCAGGGCAGGTGAGGGGGCTGTTCCCCTTTCCCCATGCAGCCGCCTTCCCCCCCACAGGTTGCAGTGGGGCTGTCATCACGTCTTCGTGAGGGTTCTTGCTGATGGCCTCCCTGGCCAGGTGACTGCCTTGCATCCCCAAGGACCCAGGGCCCAGCGTGGTGCCAGCACTTTGCAGTCACCCTCTAAAGACAAGATCAATAAACAAATACATTTGGGACCCCCTCTGGCCACCCTGTGCAGAGGAGGCTGGAGGTCCACAGTCCAAGGAGAAGACAGCTGGCCATGAGCCGGGGGCAAGAGAGGGCAGGGCAGACAGGACCAGGGGGCCAGACTGGCCACAGGGAGGTCAAGCCAGGTTTCCCCTGGGCAGTCAGGGGCTATTCTCAGGGTAACCTGACCTCCCTCTCGCTCGGAACAGCAAAGCTGGCTCCCGGGGGAGCTCCGTGGCCAGGTTTAGTAACAAGACGCCACAGCAGCGCACATCCCTGCACGTGTGTGCTTGACCCTTAGTCACACACACATACTTCGGCCTGGGGCAGTGTCTCCCCGCCCCTGAGCTTGGGGCCCAGGTCCTCAGTCTCCCCTCTAGGCAGTGACATACTGGCCTGGCCATGGCACTCTCAGGCGTGTGGTTCCAAACTGGGGCTGAAGGGTCTGCTCCCATCTCCCCTCCAGCTCCTGCCCCAGGAACAGACATAGGCCCCCACAGTTCCCTTCACCACCTGCATGGCCCCCAGAGTCTCACAGGCAGACACACACCTGCCCCGGCCCTGTGACCACCTGACAAATCTGAGCAGGTGGGGTGTGCCCTGTCCCCCGCTGGCCTGGCTGGCCCTTGGGCCTCAGCCCTTGGCCCTCAGCCTGCCAGAGTATGGAAGCCATGGGGACGCTGCCTGCTGAGGCCCAGGATAGCTGCTGAGGCCGCAAGATTTGTGCTGACAGGGACAAAATGACTCCAGCAGGCTCCAGGCCAGCAGCCCTGGGCTGAGATGAAGAAGCCGGCTGTGGCTGCCCTGCCTTCGTCCTGGCTGCTCCCGGTTATGGCTTCTGGCTGTGTGATGGTGAGAAAAACTTTCCCACAGCTCCCCTCAAAAATTACCAAGCCATTTCAAGGAAACTGGTCCCATCTATATTTCTGGACCAGAGAGGGGGTGCAACACAATGATGGTGGGAGCCGGGGGACAAGGGCCTGTAGAGAAAGAGGCCTGAGCGTCAGTTTTGCATCCGATAGCCAGGCTGCAAGGCTAGTTGCTTTCCCAAACACTCATCTAGGTGTGGCTGTGAAGGTGTGTTTTTTCATGTTTGTATTGATTACTGTGGTGAAATTCGCCTATTACTCAAAAAAGAGAACTAATATATTGATCATCTATTATGAACCACAATCTTTCTGTTTGTTCTTTTTTGGTATTGTTTGTGGTACAAAACCCATAACATAAAATTAACCATCTTAACTGTTTTGGGGGCTTTCCTAATAGCTCAGTCAGTAAAGAATCCACCTGCAATGTGAGAGATCCTGGTTCGATCCCTGGGTTGGGAAGATCCTCTGGAGAAGGAAATGACAACCCACTCCAGTATTCCTGCCTGGGAAATCCTATGAACAGAGAAGCCTGGCGGGTTACAGTCCATGGGGTTGCAAGGAGTCAGACACAACTGAGCAACTGAATCACCACACCATGGTTGTATCACTTAACTGCAAGTGTGCGGATCAGTAGCATGAACTACACTGGCCTTAGGCAGCAGACCTCCAGGACCTTTTCATCTTCCCAAACCCAAACTCTGTCTCCACTAAACACTTACTCCCCATCCCACTTCCTGCATGACACCCACTCTCCTCCTCTCTGTGTGTGGATATGACCCCTCTGGAGACTTCTTATAAGTAACATGAGATAGGATCTGTCCTTTTGTGTCTGGCTTACTTCACCCAGCATCATGTCCTCTAGGTTCATCCATCTTTTAGCAGGTGTCAATATTTCCTTCTTAAGGTTGAATAATATTTCACTGGATGGACTGACTGCATTTTGTTTATCCAACAATCCATGGACATTTAGGTTGCTTCCATCTCTTTACTACATGAATAATTCTGCAGTGAACATGGGAGTCATGAGGGATTTAATCCAAGGTGATTAACACTTAAATCTATAGATTTTAAGTAAAGCAGATGACCCTGATAATGTGGACAGGTCTCACCCAATGAGTGGAAGGCCTTAAGGGTAAAATCTGAGGTCTCAGGGGAGAAGGGACCCTCTGCACACCACCTCTGGCCTGGAGCTCCTCCTTGGGTCTCCAGGTACTGGACAAGCCACAAGCACATGAACCAATTCCTTAAAATAAGATGGTCTCCCTCCCTCCCTCCTGCTTTCTCCCACTGGTCTGTTTCTTTGCAGAACCCTTACCAATTCAGTGACCAGGAGCAGGGACCCAGGAAGGCCAGAGCAGTGTGCTCCCTGCACCCAGGTGTCTGTGCACAGGTGCTGGGGTGGCTCCCCTACTTCAAGGCACATGGTATGTTCTCTGGACAGGTCTGGATGGGGCTGTGGGCTCCCAAAGAGAAGAGCGACACTCGCACACTGAAAACCCAGGCCAGGGGAGGGGAAAGACTGCATGTGCAGCTGGGAGACCTCAGGCTCTCCCTCAGTGCCCCCTCCTCTCACATAGTGCAGACCAGTCACCTGCTCCCAGACAAGAGACCCACAGGCGCTGCCACCCCATCCCTCCAGGGTGGCCGCTGGTACAGACTTGGCTCACCAGACACTGTGGCCCCACACAGGGCTCTGAAGGGTGCTCCCTCCAGAGCCTATGGCTGGCCCAAGGCTTCTCGCAGGCAGCTGGACCTGACCTCTAACACAGAGCCTGTACCCCAGACCCCACCTCGGGGTCAGCTTCTGGAGGACCAGGCTGCAACCACATGAGTTTGAAGATGGGTCCCTTGCTGCCCAGTTGCCACGAGGCGCCAGGAGTGGGGACTGTCCCTGCAGTAGGTCACATGGGACAGAGTGGGGGAAAGGCCCCATAATTGCAGCTGAGACAGCTGAGGACAAGTTGGGCCTGACGTGGGTGGATAAAGGGACCTGGTGGCCCTGCTGGCAGGAGGCAGGCGAGCACATCTAGGCCTGGGGGCTCCCTCTAGGGTCTGAAGCATAAGCTGGGGGTGGGGGACACAGGGCTTCTCAGACCCCTCCACACTTCCCCACAGCCTTGGCCTGAGCTTCACTCAGCCAGCCTGGGGCTGCTGCATGGGGGCTGTCACCCTGGGCTCTGCTGAAACCCCCAGCCTCCTCACCCATGGGTGATAGCTGCACCGTGACAGTTTCCCCAGGTCCTGGTGGACTGAGCCCCCTGCTCAGCCCAGCTCTCGGAATGCCCCCTCCATCCCGTCTTACTTCCTTCACCCCCAAGGAAAGCCTGCCTCCCCTCGTTCTGAGCCCTTATCACACAGCCTGCTTGGGGGCCGCCCAGCCTGGACAAGGGGTGTCTAAGAAACCCCAAACCCAGACCACCAACCACGGAAGGGAGAGGGATGCAAGCATAAGATCTGGTAGTGTTCAGGAAATGGCCAGTGCCAGTGACTGAGATTAAAATATAATGTAAAACACTTACAATAACCACTAAAACAACAGAAATAGGTTGTGTGACTTCCACATCTGTGGAAGGAAAAAAGACTAAAGAAAATGTAATGTACCTCGTAGAACACAAACAGGGAGAAAGAAGCATAAGAAAGCAGTGTAACGGGAACTTCACTGGTGGTCCAGTGGCTAGGACTGCACTCTCACTGTCAAGTGTCTGGGTTTGATCCCTGGTCAGGGAACTAAGATCCCTACACATCACAGCCAAAAATAAAAATAAATAAGAGAAAGGCAGCATAGCTAGGAAGCAAAAGGTAACATAATAAAGGTAAATCCAGGTCGGGGCAGGGACAAGGAATTGGAGGAAAGCAGTCAAAGGGAAAAACTTCCAATTATTAGAAAAGTAAAATACTAGAGATATACAACATGATAAATGTAATCAATTTTCTGTATGTTATGTATGAAAGTTGTTAAGAGAGAAAATCCTAAGTTCTCATCACAAGGAAAAAAGCTTTTTTCTATTTCTTTAATTTTGTATCTATATGAGATGATGGATGCTCACTAAACTCATTGTGGCCACAGTTCATGATGCTGTTGTTCAGTCACTCAGTTGTGTCCGACTCTGTGACCCCACGGACTGCAGCACACCAGACTTCCCTGTCCTTCACTATCTTCCTGAGTTTGCTCAAACTCATGTCCATTGAGTCAATGATACCAGCCACCATCTCATCCTCTGTCACCCACTTCTCCTCCTGCCCACAATCTTTCCCAGCATCAGGGTCTTTTTTAATGAGTCAGCTCTTCACATCAGGTAGCCAAAGGATTGGAGCTTCAGCTTCAGCATCAGTCCTTCCAATGAATATTCAGGACTGATTTCCTTTATGATTGACTGGTTTGATCTCCTTGCAGTCCAAGGGACTCTCAAGAGTCTTTTCTAGCACCACAGTTTGAAAGCATCAATTCTTCGGTGCTCAGCTTCTTTATGGTCCAACTCTCACATCCATACATAACTACTGGAAAAATCATAGCTCTGACTACACAGATGTTTGTTGACAAAATGACTCTGCTTTTTAATACGCTGTCTGGGTTTGTCATTGCTTTTCTTCCAAGGAGCAAGTGTCTTTTAACCTTATGGCTGTAGTCAGAGTCTGCAGTGATTTTGGAGCCCAAGAAAATAAAGTCTGTCACGGACTTTATTTTTCCATTTTTTCTCCATCTATTTGCCATTAAGTGATGGGACCGGATGCCATGATCTTTGTTTTTTGAATGTTGAGTTTTAAGCCAGCTTTTTCACTCTCCTCTTTAACTCTCATCAAGAGGCTCTTTTGTTCCTCTTCGCTTTCTGCCATAAGGGTGGTGTCATCTGCATATCTGATGTATGTACATCAAATCATTATGCTGCACACTTTAAACTTACACCATACTGTATGTATGTCAATTATACTTCGGTAAAATTGGAAGAATAAAGTAAACCCAGCCACCTGACAGAGTTCCCAGGGGCCAAAGCTGGAAACATATGAGCAAGAAAATAACCAAGTCATATTGGGTTATAACCACCAAAGTGTACGATAAATACAATTGTGCATCACAACCAACCATCAACAGAGAGAACAGGCAGTCCACAGGATGGGAGAGGACACTAGCAAATCATACATCTGATATGGGTTTAATACTCAGAAAATGCAAAGAACTACTATCACTCAACACAAAAATAACCTCATTCAAACAATGGGCAAAGAGCCTGAACAGAACTTTCTCCAAAGGAGACAGACAGCCAACAAGCCCATGACAAGATGCTCAACATCACTGATCATCAGGGAATACAAATCAACAGCCCAGCGAGAAACAGCACATCACACCCGTCAGGACCGCTACTATCAAAAACCAGGAAACAAGACATGTTGGTGAGGACATAGAGAAACTGGAACCCTTGAGCCCGGCTGGTGGGAATGTAGAATGGTGGGAGGTCCTACAGAGGTGCCTCAAAAAAAAGTAGACATAGAAGCTCCACGTGACGCAGCAATTCCATTTCTGGGCCTATTCCCCAAAGAATCAAAAGCAGGGTCTCAAAGGTGTTTGCATACCCATATTCATAGCAGCATTATTCCATTTAAAACAATCGCCACTTAAAAGGCGATTGATTTGCCTACCTGGATAAAAAGCGCAGATGCTCCCTGTCCACAGACACAGCCTACTGAAAGGCCAGCCCTCAGGGCCCCCAGCGCACTCTCTGCTGGGCATGTCCCAAGAGCCCCAGCCCTCTGTGCCCAGGGCTGCATGCACTGGATGGGTCTGAGGTCATAGCCTCAAGACATCCTTTCCTATAAACCCCGCATTCCTCTAAAATTCCATCATTTATTGATCCACAAAGAAATCTCAACACTAAAGATCAGCCTCAAATTGATCACTTTCTCCGACTACCGAGTTCCACCAATTTCTTATCTTTTAAAAAATATTTATTTGAAAAAAAATATTTATTTGGCTGCACTGGGTCTTTGTTGCGGCATTCGGGACCGTTTTAGTTGCAGCATGTGAACTCTTTAGTTATGGCGTGTGGGTTCTAGTTCCCTGACCAGAGATTGAACCGGGGCCCCCTGCATTGGGACCTTGGAATCTTAGGCACTGGACCACCAGGGAAGTCCCTCCACCAATTTCTAAATCAAGACCAGAGGAGGAAATTCTCTGGCAGTTAGGCAGTTAATAAGACTCCGTTCTTCCACTGGAGGTGAGGGTTAGATCCCTGGTCCGGGAACTAAGATCCCACAAGTCCGGGGCGCGGCCAAAACATACCAAAACAAAACAGAAACACAGGAAACAGTTAAGAGCTGAAAGGGCTAGTTTCCGCGAAAAGCGGGCGGGGCGCGCTGAGCGATAATAGCCCCGAAAACTAAGGACGGTTTTAGCAAAATCATAGGCGGATCTGAAAACAGGTTAAATGGTCCTCCTGAGTTCTTCGTGGGAAATGCTAAACCGCCAGTCCACTCTGGAGGGCGGAGTCCGGAGAAGAGTAGCTCAAGCCCCGGCCTGGCTACCGACACTCCGCCCTGTAGTTGCCCAGTCCTCGGCCCCGCCCGGGCCCTTCTCCCGGCCCCGCCCCGCCCCTCTTTCTTCCACTAGGCCCCGCCCCGGCCCTTCCACCGGACCCGCCCCATTCCCGGCCCGGAAGCTGCGCCTGGGGCGTCCACCCCGCGCGTGTGCACCAGGCGGCGCTCGCGGGCCGCGCGAAGCCAGGACTGGGCGTGCCGCTGGGCGGGCACCGGCGTTTGAGGGCGGCCCTCCTGGGTTTGGAGCTGGGCGGGGTCGCCTTCCCCGCCCTCCGGCCCGGCATCAGTCCATCCTTCCTTTAAAACCCTGCACTAGAAGACTCATTCTTCTGTTCCCTCAATTGTGAGCACAAAAACAGGCATAAGTACAACCCAGCTTGCGGGGGGGCGGGGGGGTGTCAGAGTGCCGACTGCGGAAATGGAGCCACCGCTCACCACCTCTACTCAAGGGAAGGGGGTGGGCCCCTGGACCGTGTGGTCCTGAGAGCCTGGCCAGCAGTGATCAGGGCAACTGCTCGGCTCAGCCACCAGGTGACCCGGTGTGGCCGGCCCCTGCTTTGCCCAGGCTCCGGGGGCTCCCAGCTGACCCTGACAGCCCTGTGTCCCCTCACCCCTGAGGACTCGGGGCGCTCCTACATTCTGAGGGCTCTTCCTTGTCCTCTTCAGTCAATGGAAAGAGCCTCACACCTCTCTGGTTTCAGGGGGCCCAGCGGCCAGAGGACGGCAGGAGCCTGGAGGTCTGTCCCACACGGAGGGGATGCTGATGCCGGAGGAAGAGAATTCTGCCCACAGAGCCTGGGGGCAACACCCATGAGGGCAGCGCCCATCAGCCTTGGCAGACAGGGCCCCCAGGAAGGGTGAGGCTTGCATGGCCCTGTCCTCAGCAGTGCCCCTGGTGTTGCCCAGTGGGGATGACCCACCTCCCCTTGCACTTGCATTGTCTCTGGGGCTTCATCTCTATGGTCTGTCTCAGAGGGAGTGTCCACCCAATGCAAGGCCTCACCCCCATGGCCACCAGGGGCTCCTGGAGGGACAATAGGACAGGACAGACAAGTCCTTAGAAGTCTGGTCCTCAGGCTGAGCCACCCCCTGGCGCCCCAAAGCAGGCCTGGGCACGAGCACCAGGCATCTGCCCAGGGGAACATAGAGGGGGCCTGGCAGGTCCCAGATGGACGTCACTGCGAGAGCTCCAGGGCCCTGCCTCCAGGCAGCGCTACCACCCCCAACGTGCCATGCAGGCCTGCTGGTTTCCAAAACACCCAGTGCCTGCAGGCCAGGCTGCCCCAGGAGGGCCAGCCCAGGGGACCAGCATGTGCTCCATGCTCAGCCTGCACTCCTACTGCCTGGGGTCCTCACCCACCACTTCCTCTTTCTTCTCCTTGGGTCCCATGCCTGCCCACCTCCAAGACCACCAGCCTGGGACTCTGCCAAGCTCCAGGGTCGCTGGCCTCACACCTGCCTCTCATTGCCCCTTGCAGGCACAGCTTGCATCACCTCCCAGGTGACAAGTGGGCTGGCCTCAGGGACAGGATTCTTGACAAACAGCCCTCAGGCCCCAAAGGCCCTCCCAAATGGAGGAGAGCTACATCCTCAGGATGAAGGGCCCTCTGCCGAGGACCACAGGGCTGAGGCTTCAGGAGCCTGGATGGCCCTGCAGGGGTCAGATGCCATCTCCCTCCCCCATGCCTGCCCCCAAACACATGCAGTGGTGCCCAGCCCAAGTGTAATGTGCCCTCCTGACTAGGAGCAGAGCCTGGAGGCAGAGGGTAGGTGGAGGTGAAGAGTACAGTACCCAGCAAGGCCCCCTCCACTTGCTGTCTAGCTGTCCACTTGCTGGCCCAGCCCATACCGAACTGCAGACACCCCCACAGCTACCCCGGAGCCCACCCCAACCTTGGAAGGTGGCCTTGGGTCTCTGGGTGCTGGGGCTGCCCCTGGGTCCTAGCAAGCTCTCCCTGGGCAATTCCATTGGCCTCACGGGCTGGACTCATGCCAGGGGTGAGGGGCAGCTGGCCCAGGGAGGGGGATGGGAAGGGGAGGAAGAGGAGACCAGAGAGGGGTTGTCCTGCTCCAGGCTGAAGAGTGTCCCCAGGTGCCCAGTGGGAGTAAGGGGGCCTCCAGAGAGCTAGACCCTGCCCGTGTGGCCAATGGCTGGCTGTGCTGCCTTTACTCCTGCCAGCTCCAAGCCCTGCTCAGATTGCAGAGAGATCTCCACTGCCCAGAAAAAGCCATGAACTGGTGAATAAGGAGCTGCTGCCAAGAAGTGGAAAAGGGCAGTGTGGGGGTGGGGCAAGTGACAGGAAGGGCCCCTTCCTTCCTTCTGAGGTGCCCCCAGGTCCAGGCATAGCCTCTCCCTTGACTATAGCTCTGTCCTGGCTCCTGGCTGTGTTCACACATATCCACCTAGGCCAGCTCTGGACCCTGCAGCTCCCAAGGGACTCCATGCCGTGCTAGTCCCTGCTGCCCTGGCCACATAAATCTATTGTCTGCAAAGTTCCCGCCTCTCTCTGGGATTCTCCTCCTTCTCTTCTTTCCACTCTCCCCTTGGAGGGCATTGGCAGCCCCAGACATCCTTGGCTACCTTGACTCCCCCATGGCCCCTCAGTGGCCTGTGCATGGCTCTCCAAACCCACTGCAGGACTACTCCTCAGCCAACATCTACAGCATCTTAGGCTGAAAAGGCCCAGAGCACAGCATCTCCTCCCTCTTGCCCACCAGGACTGCCCGCCCAGTTGCCCCTCCCATCCTCTCAGCTCACTGTCCAGCTGTGAGGACAGACACCCTGGTGTCACCCCTGACTCCTCTGCGTACCCATCCTTGGACCATCACAAGCCACATCACTCCAGACTTGGCCCTGTCCAGCTTCCCCAGACCACTGCGCTGCCTGCTTCAGGCTCACCTGCCCCACAACAGCTGTGGGGGTGCACCACTGCTCAGAATCCCCCAGTGGTCCCCATCTCCCTACAGGACCTACCCTCCTCACTACCAGGACCTGAGCAAGCTGACCACTGCCCAGGGCAAAAGGACTGAACTACCACCCTGGCCTCCTCCCAGAGCTTATATTTTTAAGAAGTAGCTGATAAATGTCAATGGCTTTTTTTTTTTTTTTTTTTTTTAGCCACTGAGGAAAAGTCACTCCTCAAATTCATACAGAATTGCAAGGGACCCTGAGTAGCCAAAATGATCTTTAAAAAGAAGACCAGAGTTGGAGGACTCAAACTCCCAAACTTAAAAACTTATTACAAAGCTACAGTGATCTTAACAATGTGGTACTGGTATAAAGACAGACACATAGACCAACAGAATAGGACAGAGAGCCCAGAATAAACCCTCACATGTTTAGTCAAATGATATTTTACAAGGATGTCAAGGTCATTAAATGGGGAAAGGACAGCTTTTCAACAAATGGTGCTGGGAAAACTGAATATTCACATGAAAAAGAACGGATTTCAGAACTTCCCTGGTGGTCCAGTGGTTAAGACTCTGTGCTTCCAGTGCAGGGATTATGGGTCTGATCCCTGGTCAGAGAACTAAGATCCCGCATGCTGGGCAGCATGGCCAAAAAAAGGGAAAGAATAAGAATGAATTTGAGCCCCTACCTCACACCATATACAAAAATCAACTCAAAGTGGATGAGACCTAAACTTAAGGGTCAAAACTATAACATTCTTAGAAGAAAACATAGGAGTAGATCTTCATTAACTTATATTTGGCAATGGTTTCTTAGCTATAACATCAAAAACACAAGCAAAAAAGGAAAAAAATTAAATTGGACTTCAGCAAAACTAAAAATTTTTATGCACAAAGGACACTACCAATAGAGTGAAAAAAAACAACTGACAGAATGGGAGAAAATATTTGCAAAATTACATATTTTGTAACCCTAATAAGGATCTCATGTCCAGAATATACAGAGAGAGCATGCCACTCAACAACAAGCACAACAAAAAACAAGTTTAGAAAAGGGTAAAGGACTTAAATAGATATTTCTCCAAAGAAGACATTCAAATGGCTAGTTAGCACATGAAAAGATGCTCAGCGTCCCTGGTCACAAGGGAAATGCAAATCAAACCACAATGAGATATCACTTCCCACCATCTAGAATGGCTAGAATCAAAAAGGTGTATAGTAACAAGTCTTGGTGTGGACATGGAGTGGTCAGAGCCCTTGTGCACATCTGGTGGGAATGTAATATAGCTCAGCTGCTGTGGAAAGCAGTTCGATGGCTAACTAAGTATAGAGTTACTGTATGACCCTGCAATCCCACTCCCAGGTAAATATGCAAGAGAACTAGGAACAGGTGTTCAGACAAAAATGTGTACACGAATGTTCACAGCAGCGCTATTCACCACAACCAGAAGGGGGAAACAGCCCAAATGGCCACCAGCGGATGACTGATACACAGAGGGCGATGTGTCCACCCAATGAGTCATGCAGCCGTCAAAACGAATGAAGCCCCGACACCTGCTCCAACATGGATGAGCCTTGAGAACACAGCACTCTGTGAGAGAAGCCAGATGCTGGACACACGTTGTGTGAATGCTGCATGATCCCACTTATGCGAAGTATTAATACTTAGAACAGGCAAATCCAGACAGACAGGAGACTTGTGGTTGAGGGGGGGCGCTGGGGGGAGGGCACGGGGAGGGACTGCTTAATGGGGGTAGGGCTTCCTCCTGAGGTGAAGACCATGTTCTCGAAGTGGATGCAGGGGGTGGCTGCACAATGAGGAACCTGCTAAATGAACTGTGTACATCAGAAGGGTTTAGTGCCTACTAAAACTGGAACGGGTACAGAGAAGATTAGCATGGCCCCTGGGCAAGGATGACATGCAAATTCGAGACACGTTCCATATTTTTTTAAAAAGGAGGTTTAATGGTCAATTTCACATTAGGTGTGTTCTACCAGGATTCAAAACCAAAGTAGCTCATGAGGGAGAACCTCTCTGGGGGAAATTTGAGTCCCCAGGAGCTCCTGAGGCATCTCCCTTCTGACAGGAATGGGAGCTGCCCTGCAAGAGGGACTTCTGGTAGAGACCCGTCCCCGAGCTGGGGAGCCAGGGCGGAAACCCTGGCTGCTGGCCATGGGCTGGGTCTCTGCTCGCTCTCATGGAGGGGTAGCATGGTGGGGGTCTTCTGTTGGAAGGGACAGTCCCTCCAGGGCAGGACCTGAGACAAGGCTGTGGGACAGTCAAGACAGTGACCAGGGTGTAGGCCCAGAGGTTAGGGTCCTTCCTGCCAGGCATCGGGCACAAAGCTCTACCACTGTGTCAATCCTGGGGTGGGCTGGCAAATGTGGTGTGGCACTTGGTGACGAGATATGGCAGGTAACACAGTGTGGCCAGTGTTGTGTGGCATGAGGTGGCATGGAGCCCTGTCCATGGTCATGGGGTCAGGGGGGCAGGGCAGCTCTGGGCCCATGTGGCCTTGAGGATTTCCTGCCCCTTCCCCTCTGCTCAGCAGGCTGCCCTGCTGGAAGAGGCCCTGCGTGGCTTCTCTGGATCACATGACTTCAGGATGGGGTGAGAGGGCCCTGTGGAGTACGGGGTCACAGGCACCCTCGGGCTTGAACCGGTGCCGCAGGTGCAAGCTGTTTACCTAACAGGTGCTGGTGGAGCTGAGTCCCAGGGCACTGCCTGCAGGGAGCAGAATCCCAGAACAGCTGGGCGCCCTCCCCCAGGCAGGGCCTGGCAGAGGGAGGCAAGGGGAGCTGGAGACAGGGTGAACCCGGTGGCCCTGACAGCAGCCCCCCACTTCCCTAGACAGGTTTCTCCTGCCACCACCCCATCAGCTGTGCTCCTGTCTGCAGCGGGAACTGGGAGTCAGGCAGTCTGCGGGCCGCTCCCCTCTAGGGGCAGTCAAGCTTGGGCTTCAGCCAGGGTCGGCCCACCTGGGTATGTGCTGCCAGGCCAGCTAGGGGCCTGTCCCAGCTTTTCGGCCCCAGGGACCCCTTTCTGAACCTGGCCAGGCCTCTAGATGGCACCTGAAGACAGGAGGCTTGCCAGGCTGGGGAGAATGGTGGTGGCCTGGAAGGGGTCTGGGGGCTCAGAGCCCTAAGGCATCTCTGGGGCAGAGGCTGCCTCTGAGCCACCACACCTCCTCATCGCCCTCTGGCCTCCCCGTCTACTGGGATCCCATGGCCTATCCTCCCACACAGGACACTGAGGCCTCCCTCTCCCCTCACCTCTCTGGCACTTGCCTGGGCTCCCCTTTCTCATCTATGTGGGTGTCGGGGCCTGTGTGTGCCCCCACTCCAGCCCTGGGGCTCTTTCAGGATCTCACGGTTTCTGCTTCAACCCCTGGTTTAAATTCTTCTCTCTTGGTTTCAGAATTCCCGTCCTGGCCCAGGGTGTGCTAAGGCATTTCTGGCAACTGCAGTCCAGGGCTGGGC